AGACATTAGTAAGGAATCAGCAGAGACTTTTTTAACAACTTTATTTGACAGGTAGAACAAGAAGCGTCACATAAATAGAAGTTTTTAAGGATTCTTCGTCCGACGTCATCAATGGTACAACATTGGCACCAATAATAAATGATGTGGCACGGCCTAAGCGTGAAGTTCATGAGCAGAATTCTATTCTAGGTAAGAACCGAGATATGGAAAATTGTTTCAAAAACTGACCAATTTTCTGAGCATAGATCCTTGTTGCGGAAGGTTAAGTATTTTTTCCAGCGTTCTTAATGCTTTGTGACAGTTGTGTGTTTATTTTTCTTCCTTCCATTTTCTGCTTTTTTTCAGGTTTCATCGCTGTCTTGGTGGCATGCTGCCTTTCTGGATTTGCTGGTATCTATTTTGAGAAGATTCTGAAAGGATCCGATGTATCTATTTGGATTCGAAACATCCAATTGGCACTTCCATCTATCTTCTTCGCCTTACTGTTTGCCTTTGTTAGTTCTATTACTTCTTCATGGATCTATGTCCTCTTTTGACCGCCCTTGCACCGTCGGTTCCTCACGCGTGCGATCGTGACGCGGCGTGATGTTCGGTCGATGCGCTGGTGTCTGGCTGCTTCACTGCTGATAGATACAGTCCTCATCATTACGTACTGTCGGGGCGGCACAGCCGCGCTGTGACGCGACAGCGGCTGCGGCTCGGTGACGGTGAATCAGCTGATTTCGATGGAATTCGGCTGCAAATTCCCACTTTTTCAGCTCTTCAAGCTTCTAAAGTGGAAGTTATTCTGACCAATTTTGAATTGTACTGACTCTGAATGAATCTGAAAGAATGTAAGCCATTTGAATAAATGCCTGAAATAAGGCAAAATACAAGGAAAAGAGCATAATAATCGACATAAAAATAAAGGAAATCAGAGCCAGTACAATTCAAATTGGTCAGAATAACTCAACTTCCACTTTAAAGCTGGAACGAGCTTTGAAAAAGTGGCGAATTTGCAGGCGAATTCCCATGGAAATCAGCTGCATTCACCCATTCACTTTTGAGCCGCAGCCGCGTCGCGTCACCATGTGCGGCCGCGCGTGTGCCGCCCCGACAGTTACGTTAACTTGATCAGCGGACTGTTATACCTTGTTCTTTGCGGAATATGCCGGGTGTTTCAGGAGGTTGTAGGGCTGGCCGGCCCAGTCCGGTGCTCCACGAACTGTTCTGTAACTTACTCGCTTCACAGATCGAAGGAGAACGACGATGACGCGCGCCAAACACCGTTATGTGGAGTAGCCTAAGCAGCAAACAGCATCTTGCCCGCTAGCGACTCCAAAAATTTTTCAATACAAAGGAGAAGGATTTGGAATTTCAGACTTTCGTTGCCCTGAGGAGTCAGTGTATTAATCCTTAATGTTCCTTGATTAGCACCACATTATTCCAACATGAGACTGGGAGAATACGTCTCCAGAGGTTTTTTCCAGGTCAAAGACAACAATGAGATCTTTTGCCTTAGCAGCCGTGTGGCGTCGCATGCTTTTTGGGTTCGACTGGGCTGTATGGGTGACGATCGCGATTTCGGCGTTCGGAGGTCTCGTTGTCGCCGTGGTCATCAAATTTGCCGACAATATCTTGAAAGTAAGCTTTCTTTTTCTGTTTTTCAACTAACGGGTCACATTGTCTTCTCGTGGTTAATGAGGAACATGCCTTGAGTGGAGAGTTTCAGTGCTAATATGTCTAACGTCAGGATGAATCTATCTGTCTTTCTTTTGCAGGCGTTTGCAACCTCATTCGCTATTGTATTGAATTGCATTCTGGCATATTTTCTCTTCAACTTCCGACCGACGATGTTCTTCGTGGTCGGCGCCGTGTTTCGTCATCGGAGCTGTATTTGTGTACAGTATCTACCCATATCGGTAAGTCGCCATTCCATTCTACCGTGACTCCCAAGCAAGCAGTCAGACAGACAACCTCACTGTCAAGTAATGAAAATCAGCCGCTAATTTTGGAGATTCCTATTAACTGATACGACCCTTTTTTTCATCGGCTATCATAAACGGATTCCGTGGTTCGTCAATCCCAGCCGACGAAACATTATCAAGAAAAACGCTCGTCGAGGAGCCCTGGGTGTAGAGCGAGAGGATCCACGCTTCCGCGCCGTCGCTTTGCAGTTAGTCATCATGTACGCGCCATTTGCACCAGAGCTCAATTGGATAACATGGACAAGCTGTAGCACGTTGACTACTTGTCAGTGCTCTCCTATTTTTATGCGTCTTTGCGACGTTTACCTCCTCCTCCTGCACGCAGGACACAGCACCGCGTTATACAAGGTTTAAGGTTTGAATACGACTCCCTGAGATCCCTTAAATCCTCTCTTCCTACGACTTCCTTTCACGGGGTGTTCTCCCAAAATTTTGCATTTTGCTATCGAGTGGGAGGGAGTGGGAATGGGTAGTCTCCAAGTAACGACCACAGTCAACTATGAAAATAAGGGATTGTTATGGAAGTTTATCGGTGCCGCCAACTCAAGGAGCTATATACAGCGCAGCGCACGTGAAACTGATAAGATCTCACAAACGAAATACTTTTTTCGCAGCCTGAAACCATTTCCACCCCCCCCCCCAATACTTGTCGACCAATGCGGTTCCTACCGGGATTCTGTTAGTAATGTACGCCTAAAATGTACATCACTAACAGAATATTCAGTCCTACATTGATTATCGGAGATTTTTTCTGTGTTTCCTTTTTTTTGTAAGTGCCACTGTCAATAGAGTGCCGATAATGAGTCATAAATCATAAAATAAATAGAAAGTCATAAACCGAAAAATAATTTCTTGCTATGACTCGATCGGTTTTCGATTGATCTCCTCAGCATTAGAGACATAATAATTCATATGCCTCCTCTCGAGATTATATAGAATGCTTATAGTTGTGCTCCCCCGTGTTGGGCCGATTTTTTTCGCCCCGTTTCGCCTGCTTCAGCAGCACGCAAGTCGAATCCTTAAAATTCTCTGCGGCCTGTTAACAGTTCTCGTCCCGCGGCGGCCGAATTACGACTCCTGTTTCAGTGTTCTCACCAGCGGAGCTTTGTCCCACTCGCGGGCTAACCACTACCCCCATCTCAATCCACACGACACCTCGGCGTGCCACTGGCCTCTGTAACAATTCCTCGCAGCAGATGTGTGTTAACTGTCGCTCTATTTTTCTGCGATACATAAAGACGTTGCCTGGTCTAATATCAAGGATGACTTTAGGGTTCGTCGTGAGCCTCAACCAACTTCCGAGGAGATGGCATCATTGAAGGAGAGCAACGAAAAGGAGGCAGTTTAGTCTAGGTTGGAGCGTACATAATTAGTCCATTCAGTTCTTCATTCGAGGTGATTTCTGCAATATACAGTATCAGGCATACTCAACTGGTTTATAGTGGATTTCCATTCCACTTTACAGCCTTTCTTAATAAGGCAGCTTTCAATCTAGAGGTGTTTGTAGATGTTTGAACGGTTTTTCAACCCCGATTCCTATGTTGCATGTAGTCACTTGTCTCTGATTCATTCTCTGATAGCCATCACATCCTCAGCGTCTTGTTTTGTTGGAAATTTCTCGATTTCACCTCAATTTCACTTCGATGTTGTTGAATTCTATCTCGTTTCTACACTCGATGTGCCCATTGGAGATTGTTTATTATCAGGTCACTTTTCCAGTTTGGTTCTTATGTCTTCCTCCGATTAAATGTTATACGTTGTTAGTTTCCTTTTTTTAAATGTGATGTTCCTCAGTTACAATTATCTCAAGATGTTCCTATATCGAAAGTATAAATGAATGTACTTGACAATGATTCCACATCGGAATTGGCACGTTATGAATTGTCCTGCTTACTATCTATATTACTTATTAAAAGGCAGTCGGTCCACGAATAAATCCCTGAAAGGACTGAGGAGGATTGATTACTCCTGGCAGGATAGAATTCGTCGCGACCTGGGCAGGCGCTGCATAGCGGTTTCCCCGAGGAAGGTGCCCTTATAAGGGCCCTATCAAGCCACAACTTTACGTCCCAAACGCCCGCCACGCCCGCCCGCCCACAAATGGACGACCGTTCCTGACGCTCTAATCGATTCATTTGCTAAGCAATATGAGCGAAGGATTGGTATGGAGGGGGCCGGTTAAATGTTTCATGCATACAGGGGGGGGGGCAAAAAAAGTCACTTTCCTTCATTGACATTCGAGGCGCTATAAGTTACACTTTATTGAATTCTGATCGGACATTGTTACCACCATATTAAAGAGCACGTTCAAATACTATAATGATACTCCGCCACAGCCTTCTGGAGGAGCGCCATCGAGAGATTCGCCGCGCAAAGTGAGTGGGTACCGGAGTTGAGCGAGATCGTTGATTTCTCCGCCACTGTAGACCACCGCTATTAAACCCGCCGAACCGGGATAATTGAGGGGATTTTTTTTTTTTTTTTTCGGGTCAGTGACCTACTTTAGATTCACTTTTTTAGGTATTCACTCGCCCCCTTCCATTCCAAGTAGGCGAGAGTTTCTCCAATGCCCTTCGATTCCATGTGGGGCACCCAATGCTGTAGCAGTACAAAGTTTCCAAGAAGGTACGGGCGACACATGAGAGGATATTCTTCACGAGTTGCTCAATGTAACCGCCAGCGCTCACCTTCAGTCCGGGGTCCACGAAGAAAATATTGGTCTTTCCATTCCAGGTACGTCCGGTCCATACCATCAACCGCGCCTGCGACGATGGGTGTAAATATGTCCCTAGACAGTGGCGACGTTGTCGGAGCTGCTCGATGTTGGAGGTCATCCAGATCGAGAGTACTGGTCTCCAGGTAGCTACCCATGGGTGACTCCACACTAGAAGTTTCGCAGCTGTTTGGAGGTGACATGAATTCCAAAGTCTTCTCCAGTCAGGCTGCGACTGGAGATGACTTCATATTTTGGTGTACATGAAGGTGATGGGCGAGAGCCAGCTCCTGCTTATAGAGGAACATCTTGGGTATCTTCCGCCCTGGTACTCGTATCCACGTCCTCTGTCTGGGCAGCGAAAACTTTGCTGATATGTGACTCGGTCGAAGTGACTTTTTTGGCCCCCTGGACTTGATATACATATTTGCAGGCAGCCGTATCTTCGGTAGCGGTGATTGGTAAGATGCCTACGGGAAACTCGTCCGAAATCGATTTACAAGTCACTGAGAACGGAGGCTTTTTCTTCGCAGGATTTTGACCGTTTCACTCCGTTCTTTCGCCATTTCCCCACTATACAGCGCCCTACTAGCATTTTAGGCTAAGTAGGAAACCATCGTGCAAAGGCGTGCGCTTTGAATAGCGTTCGCTTGTGGAAAGGGTATTAAAGAAAGAGATGCAACTGACTTGCATTTCCTTGTGGCGAGTTTCAGGCTATTCTAATTCCATACAGAACGGTATGTTGTAACGAATGCATAGTAATGCCCTGGCACAATCATTTTAAATTCTTGCATTGTTTCTGGAATCAAAGCATGGCAGTTACGGGTGGGGTGGACACTATTCCAGTCTCTGCCAAAGGCGGAGCGCGCACATCAGACGCGAGAGACAATACTTCAGCAGCCTGTCGGGGGTCCCGGTACGCGTCGGCCCTCGTTAGAGCGTACTGTCTTTTGGACTTACCAGCGACGTGATGAAACCCGGTTTCTGCACTTGCTTTAATAGGAATGTGAACAAAAGCGTACTCTCAGTGGGGAAAGAGAGGAAGAAATTTGACTTCGAATATTTTTTAGAGAAAACAGTCACGACTTTTGTTTAATAAATACAATATACAGAGTTTAACTGGTTTGCAAGACGACTCCCTATACGGCAGTAATGGAAAGGTGGCATCGACGAATTCATAGTGACCCCACTTATCGCTGTTCACAGTCTTGCCTTCTAGTGGCTCAGATCCAAAGTGATTTTATCCTTGAACAAGTCATCGAGAAGCGCTGCACCAGTTCCTGTCTCCTCTGAACAGATTTCTGGCGAGCGATATAAAGAGGGTGCGCGACTAGATCTTTTTTACCGGCCGTTCTTTCACGCTCCGCTAAGACTGTCGAATCGTCAGCTAAATGCGGAAAGAACACAGGTGAACATTATATAACGACACATATTCTAGGGATCGAACTATTCCAACTACGAATTATTTACTTATCTTCAAACTGCCTGCTCACAGAGTCGCTTTTGCATTTGGAACTAATGAAGAAGAAGCGCATGATAAACAAGGTTTCGAAGCCGCACTGAAGCTCAACGACACACTCCACGATTACGAATAGAATAGTCTTTCTTATCGAGATATTCCGGTGCACAATCTCATAAATTATCACGGACTGGAGCTGCGGAGTCATGAAGCTGAAGTAACGCCACCACTAGCATCTTGAGCCAGCCATACAGTTGACAGTTAGCCACTCGCTCTTAATATTACCTATAAACCAGAGGTGTGGAAGTCGGCAAGATTCGCCTCTAGACACGCCATGCGCACTTTGCCGTCAAACCAACCCATTCCAGCTTACATATTCGGGGATGAAAATGAACTGGTACCCGGATTATTGCTCGAAAAGTTCGAAGCTATGTCTTGGCAAAGGGTGCACCCCTTCTCGCTTCCCATATTCTTTTGAGCTGAATCGAAAAGTCCTCGCATCACAAAAGGTTTTTGGTTAACGTCTAATGCTCTACACTTTCTTTGTCTAGCTTGCAAATTCGCACGATATAATCTGGTTCAAGAGCCAGACAGAATGTATAGCAGTTGATCTTTTTTTCGAAACTCTCTTAGCTGATGTTAAAGTGATAGTCAGGAAACAGCACAGTTCCTTGCCTTGGTCATGAATAAAAACATAGGACATTTATTACCCTTACTGCCCGCAATTCTTCGAAAAACAGCCCACTTTTGAACCGACATTTTTCTGCTGGCCAGAAATGGCTTTGAACATTTGTCCCTTACGGGTAGTTTTGACCTCCTGAACATGAAATATCACATCTGGTGTGCAGAAACCTTCTGGCGTGCGCCATGCCCCTGCGCTACAAGTGCTGGCGCCAAAATACCTCAGATCACCAGCGCCTGTGGCGCGGGCGCCAGGAGGTTTCGGGCTAAGCGAATGTCATATTCGTATTCAGGAGGTCAAAATACCCCAGGAGACAACATTTGAGCCAAATCTGTCCACGGAGAAAAAAGTCGGTCAGAAACTGGCTCAATTCGGACGGTTGGGGCAGTAAAGAGTAGATAGTGCCAAAAAGACCTCTCTTCTCGAACATCACAAGATTCTCAGCCCGTCAACAGCCTGGACTTCGTTAAACTTAGCACGACCATTGGTGAACTTAGGCGAATAGTTATAGGCGCATACAACCATAATTTATTCAAGTCGTCGAGATTGCTATTAATCTGAAGCTCTAGACATTATTTTCTTTCTGGAAACAAGCAACTAGAAAGGCTATCGGAGGGAGCTATTAACATTTTTTGAGTGAACAGGTTCACGTGTTGACGACGAGCCATTTTTTTTCCTAGATCGAAGAGTGTTGCTGATGAAAGAATTTAAATCTCATAATAGACCACTGATGTGATGAAAGATACTTGAGGATCGGCAAAGAGACCGTGCTGGCGGAATTGTTCTTGAACCCTCTAGGACTGTTCGAATTTTCTCGAACAATCTTGACCACTCGAGAAAAACGATCCAATTGCAAAGCAGGGCATATCGTTGCGGGGAATCCCACAGGGGGGCGGGTGGTCGTATTTGGCTGCCCAGCGAGGAGCGGGGATGCGTGATTTGGGACGGAGAAAAACTATTGAATAGTTCAATTTTTCTCTAGCTTCACACGCGCGGGGACGTTGGTTGAAAAGGGGGGGGGGCGGTCGTGGCTTGCTCACTTGCTTAGGAGGGGAGGGGCGGCGTGTTACTGCCTGGCCTTTCGTAGAAGTTGGTGAGTGACGTTTCTCGTGGATTTTCCTGATTCCCCCCCACGTCGACAGCAAAATTTGTTGCAAAAAAGTAGGCAAGCTTTCGGAGAAGTTTGGAAAAGAGCTTACGTCAGGCAGGAAGCAGGAAGTTGGGGAAAATCAGAGATTGGTAGAAGGGGGCTCGTATTGTCTGGCGGTTTTTCCTGTTTCACATGTGCTATTTACCCCAGCCCCCGTCCCGCTTGACGTCTCGATTCGATGAGGAGGGAGAGAGGGCCGAGGTGGGGGGGGGCCGAGGAAGCAACCAACCCCCCCCAAACAGAAAAGAAGAAGGAGGTCTCGTCACGAGGGTCGTACGGACTCGACTAAAATCCCCAACCAATAATGTGCCCTGTTGCAAAGGCTAAAGGCAGACGCTTCTGCT